GATTGGGCGGTGGGGGGGGGGGCGGCAGGGATGGTATTTTGTTTTAGCTTGATATATTTGGATTCCATAGCACAATACAGAATTTTCCATTGTGAATCAGAATCTACTCTTGACAATGTTCAGTTTTCAAACCTGTAACAATGGGTCAACAGATGGCCTCAAACATGATATAATTCAAGTATAAATTTTAAAAGCAAGCTTTTCTTGCAATGATTGCTTTAAGTATTCCTCCTTCTGGTGGTCTATTTTGGCGTTTGAATTCAAATGTACTAATTACACTTTGTTTGAAAACTAAAAAAAGAAAAGAAAAATTATGTGGTGACTTGTCTATGCCACACAACGGACCTCCTTGCGACGGTTCTTTAGTCTGTAAACGGGCTGCTGTGCTGAATTAATCAAGTCAATAGTTGAAGACCAGCGCAGACCATGGTAACTTCATGGTGACTGTTATTGGAGCCCTGTGGATCTTTAGGTTGGAGAAGGATGCTTTTATAGAGTCCTCACTTATAGACTCTCCAATATTTGATCAATGTAAGACAAGACAAATATTTTACAGTAGCCTTTAGTCTTTCTCATGTGCATGGTCTGAAATGTTACACTTGCTTTCTTTTTTGGACAGATCTTTTTAAATAATTCCTTTGCTCTGGACTCAACGTGGATATATCCCGAGGAATCAAGATTGTTCCATGGGTATGAAAAGCCTCATTTATTGGCAAATCAAGTAGCTGTGTCTCTGTCCAGGCCAGCGCCTGCCTCCAGGCCTCTTCCCACAGTGGTGTTAGCACCTCAGCCTATACCAGGTTGGTGTCCAAATAGCCGCGCCAGTGTGCTTTCCCCCCCTTTTCGTTCTAGCCACAAGTGAGTGAGTTCTAGGTCTGAACACTGCTTTTGTCATTTTAATGAAACAATTCTTTCAGTAACATGTCATTTCTTCCCATTGGCACGATTCCTTTTGATAAAGAAATGGAGTTTGGGGTAACTTCACTGTGTTTGGGGGGCATGGAATTGGATTTAAGATGAAGAGATGGCAGAAGGGATTTTCCAGGAGCATATTTTTGGTGCCTTATTTTTAGAATTGGACCACAGCTTCTGCTGGTCGCTCTTCACAGGGGCACCAAATGATCAGGACACTCATTACGAAATGTTTCTTGTGTGGGGTGAGGTGCACGCGTCAAAGCTGCCTGGTCTGCAGGACATGCGAGGTTCCTGTGGCCTCCCCTTGCGGGTGATGTTGGGCATGGTCTATTTGGAAGATGGGTTTTGTTCTGTCTTTGGAGTCTTAGTGACCTGAAAGAACATTTGTCTGGGAATAAACTCCCTTGAAATAATCCCCGCATGAAAGATCGTATAATAAACCCATATAGTAACAGGAGAGTAAAATCGTCTTATGAATTTTTAAATTGATTTTTAAAATCACCTTAACATACGATCATATTATAAAAGCAAATGTTGCCCGTGCCAAAATTACCTTGCAACACCTTCCATTATGGAATATTTTATGACTTCAGAATTACATTAGCTTCCTGTAATTTCCTACCTACCACGCTTGTCTCAACGGGTGTCTCTGAAATTTAGTAATAAGGACATGCCCTGTGGCTAATGTGATGGTCGAGGAGATGGATCTGTGTGCGTCTCTGTTTGCCTACCTTACTATTCTAATTTGCTATGGATCTTGTTTAGTAATAAGTCACGAAGAACAATTCCATTACTTGGTTGTTTTTTTTCATGGGTCTTAATGATTCTTGACTGAAACTCGCCTTCTCTCCTTGCCTTGTAAGTAGGCATTACCATGTTATTAAAATCCGCATGAGCAACATCCATACGTGCATTTACAAACATTTTTCACTGAGATGATTATGTTTCCTATTTCATGTAATGATGATGAAAGGCGGTTAGGCTGCATGTGTTAACACAAGGATTTGTGGCTGCAGCTGGCTCTTTTGGTATATGTAAGAAAAATGTTTTCGTTTCCTAACGCATCAGCAATAGCTGTCACCCAAATAATTAGAAATGAAGTTTAAAAATAGATAAGTTAGTTAAACTAGTTAGGCAAAATCTTTGCGGGAAGCTTTCCACCTCTCAGCTCATCCTTGAGTATCATAGACATTTTGCAGTGTACCTTAATCCTCTTCCTAGAACACTCATACTATGAACACACTAAATATCTCTTTAGTTGAAGAAGCTGTCGATGTAAGAAACGTCCAAACCTGTAGAGAATTTTTAATAAGAGTTTATTTGAGCGAAACTGATGACAGCTGCTGGGAAGCAAGATCTCAAACACTCCTGAGGTAATCGTTTTGCAGCTTCTTTTATGCATTTGAAATTAAGGAGGGAACCCAGGGAAGATTAGAGAAAGCAAGGCGGGGATCGGATTACAGAATAGTTAATAAGATTATGTACTCTTTTGAGGGCGGTAATTACTTTTGTTATTTCGAAGGTGTACTAAGGTAGATGCACAAGAACAATGAACAGGGCTGGCTTAAAACCTTTCACTAAAGAAGAGGGCAGAGGGGGGATAAATGATGGCGGAAAGAGATTTGACTTTGGGTGATGAGTGCACAATGCAGTGGGCAGATGATGTGTTATTGAGTTGTATACTTGAAACCTGTAGGGTTTTATTAACTAATGTCACCCCAAGACATTTAATAAAAAAGAAAAAAGAAGTTAGAGGCCTACAGTGTTACTGCCCACCACGACCTACCCAGTTAGGAATTTATGGTCAGATCACTGTGTGAGGATATTTTCTGTAGAACCCCTTTATCTTTCACAATTCCCCCTTTCGATTATAAATCAATCTGAAGGATGCATTGATGGCCAACCTTAAGTTGGACAAGGTTGTCTCACAGGGCTAGGAAGGCTCAGTTCTAGGAAGTCTCAGTATTAATGTTGTCTTGTTGAAATGGTGGACCATTGCGGGTGGGGCAATGCTATAACCATGAGCTGTGAGGCTGAACTTTTCCCCAAAAGGGAAGGGCAGGTAAACGGAAGGCCTTTGGGTCCTATGGCTTTCACTCTGAAGACCATTGGATCATTTCTGTCCTGTGAACTGTCATGATTTGAGTTTTGTCTTCTGTCTCATTTTTTTCCTGTATTTGGTACCTTGTATGACATTTATATAAGCCATGAAAGAGAGTATTAAGTTATTTTATACATGTTCAGTCATCAGGAACAGTTGAACTCTAATGAAAAACCTCCAAAACAAGTATAACTATTATTAGGACTAATGTTCTTAGCAAACTGGTAAAGATAATCAATTGTTTTCTGTGTTAAACATCAATCTGTAGGTATACAGGCCTTGTCGATGTCTTGGGACAGCTGTCTAACTCTGACGTTGGCAGCTTTTCGTCCTCAAGGAGTCTTGGATGGCTGTTGTAGGCGGAGGCGCGCAGCAGAGACAAGGCTAGATATTCATTCGCAGTTAGGCACCTGATAAGCCCCTTCCAATGAAGTTGCAGAGTGTCTTTCATATTTGTCCTTCCCAATAAACAAAATCTCCAGGTAGCAATCAGTGAACTCTAAGTCTGTGTCTCCTGGGAGTTCACTGTGAAAGGAAGTGGCTACCCATTTGACATTTTCTTGAAGTGACTTTATCAAACCTTGATAATAGCTAAGATGGCTCCTTTGAATAATGCCAACTCATAAGTTACTTCACCCAAGTCCATCTTAAAAGAAAATGGGGTTTGCCAGCGAGCCTGGGAAGGACCAAGCAGCTATTTTGGGTTTCCAATAACCCTGACTATTCATTTAATTGACAACTATTATTCACCCATACAACATACCCTGGTAGTTTTCTATCACTTATTGTACTATGATTTCCATGTAATTTAACATAAAAACAAAACTTGGAGGTATTCCAGGGGCTCTTCTAGCTGCAAAGTTATTCCTACACATATTGAGATTTTAACCCTTAAAATCTCAATGGCCAATGAAAACTAAGAAGTAAATAACTAGCATTCTTTAGCTTGGCAAATTTGTGAAGATATTTTATAACCTCTAGAAGCATATTCCATTGACATCAGAGTCAGTTATTGACATGGACTTATTTTTATAAACTCGGGTAAAATATAAATATTTTATTAACGATTCAAAAGACATGTCTGTTCTTGAACCAACAAATTTAAAATAGCTTTTATTTAGTAAGGATCAATCTAAAGTTGTGAAGTTGAAAAGCATTTGAGTTAGTTTCTATATTTCTGAGAATTTTAGAATACCCAATTCTTACCAGTGCTGGCCTTCCCATTAATTTTAACAATAGCAGCAGAAGTTGAAAATTACCTTACATTTACAACATGCATACGTAGGCACATACAGACAAACAAACAGAAACATATATTTTATCCATGAGAAAAACTAACATTAGTTTATGAAAGAACAGTTGGATCCACTTTTTGTATTGGAGGCATTTACAACTTATATCTTTCCTTGACAAGTCAAGTTCCAAATGATCATCCCCTTTTAACATAAGGACAGCCATTTTTAATACCTCAAAGAATTGGGTTGACACCTAACAACATCATTGGTCGATCTATTCATCTAAATCTTTCTTTTAACGCTTCGAGAGACCAATTAAATATGTTTTCCTAATTTTATAGTTTTTTATGGTGCGTACAAAAAGATTAATCTAGAAGTCACTTTAGAATTAATGGAAGGTTGACTGTCATGGGGCTTGTTGGCCTTGAAGGCATGATTTCCCATGTTAATTTTAGTGTGTGTGTGTTTTTTGAGATCCATAGAGTCTGAACAGACTTCTAGGGAAACCAGCCTTTATGTGCATGTCTCCACATGAACCAGATGTGGTGGGTATCCCTATAGGATTGCCTCACCCCCCAGAGAGCAACCAGGAATACCCAGGGTGAGGGAGAGCTTCCTGGACTCCACCAGAACCATGATGTTTTCCAAGGATGGGAACCCTCTTTCAAGGGGAACATCCTTTCATGATTTAAAAAAACAAATTGGGTCTGAAAGAAACATACACACCTCAACATAATGAAGGCCATAGATGACAAATGCACAGATGACATCATACTCAATGGTGAAGGGTTGAAAGCGTTTCCCCTAAAATCAGGAACAAGACACGATGCCCACGCTCAACTCCTAGTCAGCATAGTATTGGAAGTCCTAGGTAACGCAGTCAGGCAAAAATGAAAGACAGCCAATCAGAAAGGAAGAAGTGGAGTTGTCTTTATTTGCAGATGACATGATCTTATATATAGAAAATCCTAGAGATGACACCGAAATGTGGTTGGAACTAGTCAACAAATTCAATAAAGTTGCAGGATACAGAATCAGTGTTCGGAAATCAGTTGAGTTTCTATACAGTAACAATGAAATACCTGAAAAAGAAACCACACCCATTCACAATAGCATCAAGAACAAGAAAATACTCAGGAATATATTTAACCAAGGAAGGAAAAGATCCAAGCAATGAAAACTACAAGATTTTGACAAAAGAAATTGAAGAAAACACAAACAAATGGAAAAGTATCCTGTGCTCATGAGTCAGAAGAATTAATATTAAAACGTCCATTCTACCCAAAGCCATCTATAGATTCAATGCAATTCCTGTAAAAATTCCAGTGGCATTTTTCACAGAAATAGAAACAAGAATCCTAAAATATTTATGGAACCATAAATGACCCTGAGGAGCCAAAGCAATTCTGAGAAGTAACTAAGCCAGAGGCATCACACTTCCTTATTCAAACTGTAATGCAAAGCTATAGTAATCAAAACAGCATGGTACTGGAATAAAAATAGACACATAGACCAATGGAAAAGAATATAGAGAGCCTAGAAGTAAATTCCTGTATACACAGTCAACTAATATTTGACAAGGGAGCCAAAAG